CTCTCCTCCCTCTCCTCCCTCCAGCAAACCCACACGCATTTCCCTCCAAAATGTCCGTTCCCTCTCAAACAAAGCCCTCACCATCCACGACCTCATCCTGGACGAGCACCTTGACATTCTTGGGCTCACTGAAATCTGGCTCTCCCCCAATGCCCCCATCCTCCTAGTTGAAGCCTCTCCTCCAGGCTACATCTTCCACCACACCCCCCGTCCAAACCAACGTGGCGGCAGGGTGACCTTCATTTCCAAAGCCTCCCTTCGTCTTACCCCCTCCTCTGGCTGCTTCCCCTCCTTCGAGCACTTCACCCTCTTCCACCCCTCTCTCCCATTGAAAATCCTTCTTGTCTACCGCACCCCCCAAGTCCCCCGGTTCCTTTCACACAGACATCTCAACTCTCTTCTCTTCGCTGTCCCTCTGCTCCGAACACCTGCTCATCATGGACGATTTCAACCTCCACCTAAACTCCCCTTGCACTACTTCTGCCGACTTCACTGCCCTCCTCTCCTCCCTAAACCTCACCCTTCATATAAATTCCACCGACCCACAACTCTGCTCATGCCCTTGACCTTGTTATCACCCACGGCCTTGATGTTTCCAACCTTAGCATAGTGGACAAGGCCATCTCAGACCACTTCCTCATCTCCTCTCACATCCCTCTCTCCTCCACCAAGCCCTCAACCATCCTCTACGTCCCTTGGAAAAGGCTACCCTTGAGACTCTCACAAAGGCACTCACATCATCAAACATCCGATCCCTCTGGCCTTCCACCCACGGAGATCCTGAAGCAGCCGTCCAGCTGCTCCATGATCGCCTTTCCTCCACCTTCAACTCCCTCGTCCACCTGAAATCCAGGACCATCTCCAAACCCACCAGATCCTCCTGGTACAACAATCATCTCCGCCGCCTAAAAACCCAAACCCTTGAGCGCAGATGGCAGAAAAAAGGCCTGACAGTTCACCAACAACTTTGGCTCGAACATCTCCACAGCTACTGCCATTCTTTGACACGCGTAAAAACGGTCTTCTACTCCAACATCATCTTGGAGGCTAAACACAACCCTAAAATCCTTTTTTCCACCACCCACCACCTCCTCCGTGCCCCCCCTCAGGCCCCTCAATCTTCATATCAAATGCCAAGTGCGAGGATGTCATGGACTTCTTTTCACCTAAAATACACAACATCCGCCAGGCAGCCTCATCCACCTGCCTCTTGTCGCCCATCACCACCCCCTCTCCGCTCCCCTCACCCTCCCCACCATCTGCTCCTAACACCACCCCCCCATTCCTACATTCCCTCCTCCCCATCTCTCCCTCCTCCCTCTCACCCACCATCACCTCCATGAAACCCACCATCTGCTGCCTCAACCCCCTCCCCACCAACTTGCTGGTCACCCAGCTCCCCCTCCTCTGCCCACTGATGTCATCAACCAGTCCCTCTCCTCTGGATCAGTCCCTGCCCCCTCAAAACTGCTGTCATCATCCCCCTCCTCAAAAAACCTTCCCTAGATCCCTCAAACCCCAGCCACTACCGCCCTATTTCAAACCTGCCCTTCCTCGCCAAAGTCCTAGAATGCATTGTTGCCAACCAACTCCGCGCACACCACTCCTCCCACTCCCTCTTCGAACTTGAAAGTCACAAACGACATCCTCTCTATCTGTGACCAGGGCTCCTTCTGCCTCCTTGTCCTCCTGGACCTTTCCGCCACGTTCGACACAGTCGATCACGCCATCCTCCTCCACCGCCTTTCCTCCGTCAACCACCTCAGTGGCACCGCACTTGCCTAGTTTGAGTCCTACCTCACGAACCGCCAGCAGTACATCTGCACAAACGGTTTCTCCTCCCGCTCTCACCCAGTTATTTGCGGGGTACCCCAAGGATCTATCCTTGGCCCCCTCCTCTTTCTGATCTACATGTTACCTCTTGGGGATGTCATCCGCAGACATGGGGTACATTTCCACATCTATGCGGATGACACCCAACTCTATTTTTCCACCTCTCTTTGCGAACCCCAGACCCCTGATGTTCTGTCAGCTGCCTGTCAGACCTCAGGGGTTGGATGAGCGCAAACTTCCTTCAGCTGAACGTTGACAAGACGGAAGCCATAGTCTTTGGCTCTCGTCAACGTCTAAAATCTCATTGTTCTCACCTCCTCCACCTGCCCGACCTCCCCCTAAAACTCTTCGAACCTCTATGCAACCCAGGCGTCAGGTTCAACCCCCAATTATCCTTCCTCTCCCACATCCGGTCCCTCACCAGCACCGCTTTATTCCAGCTCAGACACATCGCCCGTCTCCGCCAATACCTCTCCCCAAAAGCCGCTGAAACCCTGGTCCATGCCTTTGTCACCTCTCGGTTGGTCTATTCAAACTCCCTCCTCGCCGGCCTCCCCTCCACTGCCATCCACAAAATCCAGATTGTACAGAACTCTGCCGCCCGCATTCTCACCCGCACCAAACTCCGCTCCCCGATCCCCCCAGTCCTGGCCAGACTGCACCGGCTGCCTGTCCCAGAGAGGATCCACTTCAAGATCCTCACCCTTGTCTTCAAATCCCTCCACTCCTCTGCACCCCTCGACCTCTCTGACCTCCTCTCTCCTCAAAACAGTACCCGTTGCCTTCGTTCCTCCGGGTCTGGCCTCCTCCTTGTCCCCCGAGTGCTCCGTTCCACCCCCAGCGGCTGTGCCTTCATCACTATGCCCCGAGGCTCTGGAACTCCCTTCCTCACTCCCTTCGCCTCACCCCCTCTCTTCCTACTTTCAGGTCTCTGCTGAAGACCTTTCTTTTCGACTGCGCCTTTGGTCACCTTCCTCCCCTCCCTCTGGCTCCTCCCCCTCCCACTGGCTCCTCCCCTCCCCTGGCCCCTCCTCCTCCCCTGGCCCCTCCCCCTCCCCTGGCTCCTCCCCTCCCTGTGGCTCCTCCCCCTCCCCTGGCTCCTCCCCCTCCCCCTGGCTCAGCCCCAGGATCTGTTACTGTGAAGTGCTCTGAGACGCCGTCCAGTGTGGAGGGCGCTATATATAAAGTTGTTGTTGCTGTTGGTGTTGTTGAGTGAAAGGAACAGAGCGAGAGGGAGAGGGACAGAGGAAGAGTGATGGAGGGAAAGGAAGAGAGGGAGAGGGACACAACAAGAGGGACAGAGCAAGAGAGGTAGAGGGTAAGGGACAGAGGGGGAGGGATATAGGAGAGACAGAGGGTGAGGGACAGCTGGAGAAGTATACAGGATAGTGACGGAGGGACAGGGATAGAGGGAGATGGATAGAGGGAGAAAGAGAGAGGGAGAGTGATAGAGGGAGAGGAATAGAGGGAGAGGAATAGAGGGAGAGGGACAGAGGGAGAGAGATATAGGGAGATATACAAGGGGAGCGACAGAGGGAGAGGGATAGAGGGGGAGAGATAGAGGGAGAAGGACAGAGTGAGGGAGAGCGACTGAGAGAGGGATAGAAGGTCAGCGGGAGAGGGATAGAGGAAGAGGGACGGTGAGAGATGGACAGAGGGAGAGAGATATAGGGAGAGATACAGGGGGAGCGACAGAGGGAGAGGGATAGAAGGGGAAAGATAGAGGGAGAGGGATAGAGGGAGAAGGACAGAGTGAGAGTGAGGGAGAGGGACTGAGAAATAGGGATAGAAGGTCAGCGGGAGAGGGTCAGCGGAGAGGGTCAGAGTGAGAGGGACACAGTGAGAGTGATAGAGGGAGAGGGACACAGAGAGAGGTAGAGGGAGAGGGACACAGAGAGAGGTAGAGGGAGAGGGATAGAGGTAAAGGGAGGGGGATATACTGTGAGGGATAGAGGGAGAAGGATAGAGGGAGTGGGACAGAGGGAGAGGAATATAGAGGGAGATGGATAGAGGGTGAGGGAAGGAGTGAGAGGGATAGAGGGAGATGGACTGAGGGAGTGGGGCAGAGGAAGAAGGATAGAGGGAGATGGGGAGAATGATAGAGGGATAGAGGGAGTGGGACACAGGAAGAGTGTTAGACAGTGAGGGAGAGGGACGGAGGGAGAGGGATAAATGGTGAGGGAGAGACAGAGGGAGATGGATAGAAGGCGAGCGACAGAGCGAGAGAGACAGCGGGAGAGGGTAAGGGATAGAGGGATGGAGGAATAGAGGGAGAGGGACAGAGGGAGTGGAATAGAGGGAGAGGGACACAGGGAGAGGGAACAGAGGGAGAGGGAACAGAGGGAGAGGAATAGAGGGAGAGGGACAGAGTGATAGGGACAGAGGGAGAGGGACAGAGGGAGCGGAACAGAGGGAGAGGGATAGAGGGAGAGGGACAGAACGAGGGGTAGAGGGAGAGGGAAAGGGAGGGTGATAGAGGTAGAGAGACCGAGGGAGAGGGGTAGAGGAAGACAGATAACGTGAAAGGGAAAAGGATAGAGGGAGAGTGACAGAATGAGAGGGACAGAGGGAATGGAATATAGGGAGAGCGATAGAGCGAGAGGGATAGAGTGAAAGTGAGAGAGATAGAGGGAGAGGGACAAATGGAGAGGGATAGAGGGAGAGGGACAGAGCGAGAGGGGGAGAGGGAGAGGGATAGATGGTGAGGGACACAGGGAGAGGGACACAGGGAGAGGGACACAGGGAGAGGGACAGAGGGAGAGGGATACAGGGAGAAGGATAGAGGGAGAAGAATCGAGTGTGAGGTATAGAGGGTCAGTGGGAGAGGGAGGGCGAAGGACAGAGGCAGAGGGACTGAGGGAGAAAGATAGAGGGAGAATGATAGAGGGAAAGGGGTAGAGATAGAGGGAAAGGGATAGAGGGAGAGGGATAGAGGGTCAGCGGGAGAGGGATGGAGGGAAAAGCACAGAGGATGATTGACAGAGAGAGAGCAATAGAGGGAGAGGGACAGAGTGAGGGCGGGTAGATATAACAACAACAACTTGGATTTATATAGCGCCCTCCACACCGGACTGCGTCTCAGAGAGGGATAGAGTGAAAGGGAGAGAGATAGACAGAGGGGATTGAGGGAGAGGGATAGAGAGAGAGAGAGGGACAGTGGGTGAGGGAGAGAAACAGAAGGAGAGGGACAGAGTGTGAGGGACAGAGGGTGAGGCATAGAGGAACAGAGGTTAATGGACGCTGAGAGAGGGTGAGGGATAGTGAGAACTGGAGGTTGCTGGCTGACGTGTTCTCTCTTGTCGATGCCTAGGGACGAGGGGCAGTGTGTGGAGGGAATCCTGGAGATCTTTGACATGTTACTGGCCACGACCTCGAGGTTCCGGGAGCTGCAGCTGCAGCACGAGGAGTATCTGTGCCTGAAAGCCATGGTCCTGCTCAACTCCAGTGAGTAATAATAATAATATTAGTACCCTCACCCTCGCTCGCTCCTTTCTCTCTCTCTCTATCTTTCACCCTCTCTCTCTCTCTCTCTCTCCCTCGCCCCTTCGCATCCTCACTCGTCTCCCCCCACCCTTTCCCTAACCCCTTCGACCCTCGCCTCTCTCTTGCCCTCTGTCACACTCGTCCCTCGCTCTCTCTTGCCCTCTCTCTCTCAGCCCTCGCTCGCTCTCTCTCACTCTCCCTCCCTTGCCCCTCAATCACTGCCACACTGGCCAGTCAAGCCAGAGTGTCAGACAAGTGGCCACCGGGATGGGCTCTCGCAGGTACTGGGTGACAGGGGCAGGTCTGTCAGGGGCAGTCGATATCTCGTGACTGCTCGCTGACCCAGGGGAGAGGGAGTGTGTGAAGGAGTGAGAGAGTGAGTGGGTGTGGAGGAGAGAAAGAGTATATGTGGAGAGAGTGTGTGGAGAGAGAGAGAGTGGAGAGAGAGATTGTGTGTGGAGGAGAGAGAGTGTGTGTGGAGGAGAGGGAGTGTGGAGATAGTGTGGAAAGTGAGTGTGGAGGAGAGAGTGTGTGGACAGAGTGAGTGTGTGGAGGAGAGTGTGGAGAGAGAATGTGGAGAGTGTGAGTGTGGAGGAGAGAGTGAGTGTATGGAGAGGGAGAGAGTGAGTGTGAAGGTGGAAATGTGGAGAGAGTGAGTGTGCAGGAGAGAGTGTGGAGAGAGAGCATGTGGAAGAAAGAAAGTGTAATTAATGGACAGCAGAGTCTGTTTCAGTTATAATTAAAACAATGTGTTGGAAAGCTCAGCGAATTCCTCAGAGATCACAGAATATATACCATCAATTCATTGTTTCCCAGAGCGTATAAAAAGTGTTTAACATCTGTTGAAAAGTTACCAACTGAGCCATTTGCTGTAGTGTAGTCCTGCAGTTCAATGGTTAGAGCACTCGCCTCACAAGTGAAAGGACCCAGGTTAGAGTTTCCTTACTCCACACACCTGTGTTTACCCAGCAGCAAGTCGAAACCCGGTTGTTAGTTGATTGGCGGATTGTTTTTGTGGGGGTAATAATCTCTTCAAAAAAATTGGTCACTCAAACCGTGACTGTTTGTGGGACACTGCTGTGCGCAATTGCCCACAAAATTTAGTCAATTTGCTTTACAGTATATTCTGTGAAGCGCTTTGAGACGCCTCGAAGACGTGATAAGGCGCTGTATCAAATGCAAGGATTATTATTATAGGAACGGGGAGAGAGAGCTGAAGGTTCACAGGCTGGAAGCGGGGCTGACATCAGCCACACAAGACCATGGAAATCATAATCTGTGGCTGAGTCGAACTCTCGTCTCTGGGTTCAAGTCCCACAGGGGACTTTGATCTCACACAGTCCAGGCTGACACACTGGGGGAGTGCTGCATTGTTGGAGACGCTGTCCTCTAAATAAGACATAATACTGAGCTGCCATCTGTGCCTGTCAGTGGAAGGTGAAGGTTGTGTGGATTCCTGTAGTTCAGTGATTAGAGCACTCGCCTCGCAAGCGAGAGGACCTGGGTTTGGTTCCTGGGCAGGGTGAAACGTTAAGCAGATTTCCTTACTCCACACGCCTCTGTTCACCTGCTTGTTAGGCGAATGGCAGATCGCTTTCCGGGGGTAATAATCCTTTCAAAATAATAATAATAATTTGGTCACTCAATCCACGACTGTTTGTGGGACACTGCTGTGCGTAATTGGCTGCCATGATCCACCCATAAAACATAGTCAATTCACTTTACAATGTATCCTGTGAAGCGATTTCAGACCTCTAGAAAACGTGATAAAGCACTATATCAAATGCAAGGATTACTATTATTATTATTGTAAAGAAGTTGTGATGCTCTCCTCTCTGCTGGTATCCCGATAATCTTCAGGCAAATAGGGACCTCTCCTCTCCTCTCCCTCAGTCACCTCCCTGGTTAGAGGCCTCCGAGCAGGAGTGCAATGGATCAGATGTGAGGATTGTAATTAAATTATAATTTAACAGGAAGTTAGGCCACGAGACGAGGAGGGGAAGGATTTATTAACATGAAGCAGAGCCCTTGCCTTGCTGGGGGGGGAGGAGGGGGTCACAGCCTCGCGCTGAGACTTTGCAGCAGAATTATATAAAAGCTTATCTGATGTGGCAGGGAGCGAATTGTTCCCTTTATACACTGTGAGTCACTGATCAAGGGCAATCAGGACTACGATCAGCACCAGCACAGACACGATGGGGAGAGAGAGAGCAGGGAATGGGGTTAGGAGTAGAGAGCTCCAGTGGGGGAGCGAACCCCAGCACAGACATGATGGGTGAGAGGAGGGAATGGGGTTAGAGTAGAGAGCTCCATTGGGAGAGCGAGCCCCAGCAAATACACGATGGGGCAGAGCAGAGAATGGGGTTAGAGAGAGAGTTCAAGTGAGGTCGTAAGCACCAGTAGAGAGCCCCCAGAACATCATCCCAATGCAAGCTACCCCCCACCTCCCCTCAGACCCCCATGACTTGGGAGATGTGGGGAGGGAGCTTAGGACTTATGGCAAGTGGGGTGGGGTGAGGAGGTTTCAGAGTGGAGATGACCGAAGATGCGGTCAAAGAGGAAGGCCTTGACACAGGCCTTGAAGGAGGCAAACATGGGGACGAGAAGAGGGGCTCCTGGATGGAGTTTCAGAGGGTGGGGAGAGAGAGGCTGAAGACCCAAACTCCGATAGTGGGGAGGCAGAGTGAGGGGCATGAAGCAGACCAGTGCCCGCCAAGTGGAGGGAGCGGACAGGTTGGTAAGATCCTAGCAGGTTGCAGAGGTAGGGAGCAGCAAGACCGCAGAGGGCTTTAAAGGTGAGGATGAGGATCTTGAACTCAATCCTTGGGGGATGGGGAACCAATGGAGCCGGGTGAGAATGGACGTGATCGGCTCACGGAGCTTATTGTGAGAGAGGACACGAGCTGCATCTTGTGGAGGGAAGAGTTGGGAAGTCCAGCAAGCAGGGAGCATAGTCAAGCCAAAACATAATGAAAGCGTTGATGAGGGACTCAGCAGCCTGAGGGGTGAAGTAGTGGCGGAGGCGGACAATGTTGTGCAGGTGGGGGAAGGCAGAATGGGTCAGGGCATGGATGTGGAGTTTAAAAGACAGTTGAGGGTCGAACAGGACACCACAATTTCTTACTGGCTCAGCGAGGTGGTGTGGATTCATGAATAGTGATTCTGTCAGCACCTGAGGTGTGGAGGCGCCGAGGGGGGCCAATCAGGAGCGCCTCGGTCTTGTCGAAATTCGATTGGAGAAAGTTAGCTCTCATCCAAGACTTGATGTTTGCCGGACAATCGGTCAGGACAGCAGTGGATCCTGGAGTCGAGGGTGGTGGCAGAGGGATAGAGTTGGCTGTCATCCCCATACATGTGGAAGTTGACCTAATGACTGTGGTTGACATCGCCGAGTTGGAGCATGTAAATATCAAAGAGGAAAGGACCAAGAATAGAGCCCTGAAGATTACACATGACGGTGCTAAGGCAGGAAGGGAAGCTGTTGTTAAACACAAAGTTCAGACAATGGGAAAGGGTAAGACTGAAACCAGGCAAGGACAGAACCGTGAAGGTGGAGCTGAGAGGAGAGGTAATGGAGAAGAATAGAGGGGTCAAGTGTCGAAGGCAATAGAGAATGGCTAGGTGACGGACCTGATCACAGATGGACAGCATGTGATTTGTAATTTTGACCAAGGATGTTTCTGTACTGTGGGAAGCAAAGAAACCAGAATGGAGAGGTTCATACAAGGAGTGGTGAGAGAGGATAGAGTGAAGCTGGGAAGCAAAGGGAGGAAAGGGAAGGTGTGGAGGGAGCTTTGCTGTGTTTCTCACCCTGACCTGGGAGTGTGGACGCACAGTGTAGAGGAGCTTTACTGTGTCTCTAACCCTGACCTGGGAGTGTGGACGCACAGTGTAGAGGAGCTTTCCTGTGTCTCTAACCCTGACCTGGGAGTGTGGACACACAGTGTAGAGGGAGCTCTAACCCGTGCTGTTGCTGACTTGGGAGTATAGATGAGATCTCTCTGGAATGACCTGTAAGAAGGTTGGATTCCATGGGCCGTCTCCATGCACTTTGAGTTTCTGAACCTTTCCCAGTGCCAAGCGCTGGAGAGGGAGGGGATGGGATGGGATGGAGGTCACGGCTGAGTCCAATGTTGTTTCACAATTAAAGACATCACCTAAAGGCAGGGCTGCCTGTTTGTAATTATAGCAAAAAATATATATCATAAATCTGTCAAAATGGAATTGCTTGAAAGTATTTATTAAATGACAATAAAGCTTTTTATGAGCTGGCTGTTGTGCTTGGAGCCACCCAATAAACATGATGGGCCTTCATCCTGGGGCCAAGGCTTGTGGACGATTCTCAGTGATGTAATTTGCATTTAACTCTTGCTGTCCTGGGCCTAATCTACCAAGAATAGAGGGGAACCAAGAAGACAATGTTAGTGAACAACTTGGGGGAATTAATATTAGTAAAGAAATGGTTTTAGGTTAATTGTCAGGTCTTAAAACTGATAAATCTCCTGAATCTGATGACCTACATCCTAGGGTTTTAAAAGAGGTGACAACGTTTGTCTTTGATCTTCCAAAATTCTCTGGGTTCTGGAACGGTTCCCATTGATTGGAAGTTTGCAAACGTAATACCACTATTTAAGAAGGGTGGAGAGAAAAGATGGGGAACTATAGACCAGTTAGTCTGACATCAGTGGGAGTGAAAATTCTTGAGTCCTTAATTAAAGATGTCGTTATGGGATTCCTGGAAGACCATAACAAGATTAGGCAGAATCAACATGACTTTACAATAGGGAAGTCATGCTTAACTAATCTTTTAGAGTTTTTTGAAGATGTATCTCACAGGTTAGATAGGGGGGAACCAGTAGGTATAGTATATTTAGATTTTAAAAAGGTATTTGACAAAGTGCCACACAAAAGGCTATTGCACAAGGTTAAGGCCCACGGGATTAATGGGAACATATTAGCATGGATTGAAGAGTGGCTAACGGGTAGAAAACAGAGAGTAGGGATAAACGGGTCATTCTCGAATTGGCAGGATGTGACTAGTGGAGTGCCACAAGGATCAGTGCTTGGGCCTCAGCTATTTACAATTTACATCAATGATCTAGACGAGGACATTGAATGTAACGTATCTAAATTTGCGGATGACACTAAACTCGGTGGGAGAGTAAGCTCTGAGGATGATGCAAAAAGATTGCAACGGGATATAGATAGGCTAGGGGAGTGGGCGAGTAGGTGGCAGATGGAATTTAATGTGGGGAAGTGTGAAGTTATTCACCTAGGTAGAAAAATAGAAAAACAGATTATTTTCTAGAGGGGGAGAGATTAGATAGTGTTAGTGTTCAGAGGGATTTGGGTGTCCTTGTACACCAGTCTCAAAAAGTTAGTTTGCAGGTGCAGCAGCAACTAAGAAGGCGAACGGCATGTTAGCGTTCATTGCAAAAGGTTTAGAGTACAAGAGTAGGGAAGTCTTGCTGCAACTGTATAGGGCTTTGGTGAGACCGCACCGAGAGTATTGTGTGCAGTTTTGGTCTCCTTATTTAAAAAAGGACATACTTGCCCTCGAGGGGGTGCAGCGTAGATTCACTGGGTTAGTTCCTGGGATGAGGGGACTGACCTATGAGGAGAGGCTGAATAAACTAGGGCTGTATTCTCCAGAGTACAGAAGAATTAGGGGAGATCTTATTGAAACATATAAGATTCTTAAAGGGCTGATAAAGTAGACACTGAGGGCCTGTTTCCCCGGTAGGAGAATCTATAACCAGGGGTCACAGTCTTAAAAGAGGTCAGCCTCTTAGAACAGAGTTGAGGAAACATTTCTTCACTCAGAGGGTAGTGAACTTATGGAATTCACTACCCCAGAAGGCTGTAGATACTCAGTCCTTGAACATCTTCAAGGCTGATACTGATAGATTTTTTAAAAAATAGAGGGATTAGGGGATATGGGGATAGGGCAGGTAATTAATAAGGTCAGCCATGATCTTATCAAATGGCAGGGCACAGGCTCGAGGGGCCGAATGGCCTACTCCTGCTCCTAATTCTTATGTTCTTGTATTCTTTCCAGGGATTGGAGTCCTGTAGCTTTGTGGTTTAGAGCATTCGCATCACAAGCGAGAGGACCCAGGTTTGATTCCTGGACAGGGCAAAACGTTAGGCATGTTTCCACAACAACAACTTGGACTTATCTCCATCTCCCACTGGCTCCTCCGCTCACCCTCTCATGCCTCACCCATCCTCTCCTCCAATGCCAACTGTGAGGCAATGCTGGACTTCCTCAAAACCGAAGTTGAGGGAATCCATTCAGCTGCCTCTGGCCTTCCGTCTACTACCGACTCCCCATCTCCCCCTCACACCCCGGCCCCTATCCACCCTCCCTTCACACCTTTGAACCTGTCTCCCACTCCACTCTCATCACCTCATATGTAACTCATATGAAACTGACCACCTGCTCCTTCGACCCCATCTCTACCCCTTTCCTTACCTCCCTTTCCTTTCCAAGGTCCTGGAACGAGTTGTTGCTTTCCTCCACCCTCCCCGATCCTTACCCTCAGCTCAGTCCGAAACAATAACTGTTCAGCGCCTTGGGACGTCCTCCCCCACGTGAAATAATCCCCTTTAAAAAAAAATTAAAAAATAATAATTATTTGGTTGCTCAAATTCATGACTGTGTGTGGGACGCTGCTGTGCGCAATTGGCTACCGTGTTTTGCCCACAAATACAGTCACTATACTTTACAGTATATTCTGTGAAGCACTTTGTGACATCTCGAAGATGTAATAAGGCGCTATATCAAAAGCAAGGATTATTATTATTAATAAATGTAACAATCACTGCCACTTGACACCGCGCCTGTCCCATTGGGAGGTGCCTCAGAGCGCTTCACAGGCTTTACTGAAAGTGTAGTGACTGTGTTATTTGTAGGCAAACACGGCAGCCAATCTGCACTTAGCGACATTCCGCAAACAGCCATGAAGTGTATGACCATTTTTATTGGGGATTGTCGGTCATGACACCTGGAAAGAGGGAGAAACTCCCTTCTCTTTTCCAAATGCGTCGCGGGATCTTTAACATTTCTCCTGAACAGGCAGATAGGAGCTCGATTTAACGTCTCATCTGACACCAGGACCTCAATGCCAACAAAGTGGCGCTCTCTCCCCCCAGCACCGCGCGAGTGCAGCAGCCTGTCGGTCAGCTCATCGTCAGCCCATCATGACCCCCCCACTCTCACCTCCACCAACCGCCGACCTGATCCCACCCTCACACTTCCCACCCCCTGCCATGACCCCGCCCCTCACCCTGCCCAACCTCGCCTGGGACCCGCCCTCACCAACCACCACCAACTTACCTGACCGTCCCCCTCCCTAACCCCCGACCTGATCCCGCCCTCACCTTCCCCACCCCTCACATGGCCAACCCCCTGCTGGCCCCAGCCCTCACACATACATGTGAGCTGGTCCCACCTCTGAGGTGCTGCCCTGCATGGAGGGCACAATATAGGTGCAAGTTGTTGTTGTTTAACACTCAGGGGCTCAGGACCCGGAAGGTGGGAGGGGGTTTACAGTGGAGTCTGCGAAGGCTTTTAAATAGGAAGTAGACAGATTCCTATTTTACATTTCCCTAGAGAGGGCAACATAAAAGACTTTGTGTGTGTGAGCAGGTGTCTGCATGTGTGTGAGCAGGAGTCTGCGTGTGTGTGTGTGAGCAGGTGTCTGTGTGTGAGCAGGTGTGTGTGTGTGAGCAGGTGTCTGCGTGTGTGTGTGTGAGCAGGTGTCGGCGTGTGTGTGTGTGAGCAGGTGTCTGTGTGTGAGCAGGTGTGTGTGTGACACACTGTGTGTGAGCAGGTGTGTGTGTGTGAGAGCAGCTGTGTGTGTGTGAGCAGTTGTCTGCGTGTGTGTGAGCAGGTATCCGTGTGTATGTGTGTGTGAACAGGTGTCTGTGTGTGAGCAGGTGTGTGTGTGTGAGCAGGTGTGTGTGTGTGAGTGGGTGTGTGTGTGTGTGTGAGCAGTTGTCTGCATGTGTGTGTGAGCAGGTATCTGTGTGTATGTGTGTGTGAGCAGGTGTCTGTGTGTGAGCAGGTGTGAGTGTGTGAGCAGGTGTCTGTGTGTGTGTGTGTGAGCAGGTGTGAGTGTGTGAGCAGGTGTCTGTGTGTGTGAGCAGGTGTGAGTGTGTGAGCAGGTGTCTGTGTGTGTGTGTGTGTGTGAGCAGGTGTGAGTGTGTGAGCAGGTGTCTGTGTGTGTGTGTGTGTGTGGGTGAGCAGGTGTCTGTGTATGAGCAGGTGTGTGTGTGTGAGCAGTTGTCTGTGCGTGTGTGTGAGCAGGTGTGTGTGTGTGAGCAGTTGTCTGTGCGTGTGTGTGAGCAGGTATCCGTGTGTGTGTGTGTGTGTGCAGGTGCCTGTGTGTGAGCAGGTGTGTGTGTGTGAGCGAGCAGGTGTCTGCATGTGTGTGTGAGTAGCTGTCTGTGTGTGTGTGAGCAGGTGTCTGTGTGTGTATGTGTGTGAGCAGATGTCTGTGTATGTGCGGGTGTCTGTGTGTGTGAGAGAAGCTGTCTGTGTGTGTGTGTGTGTGTGAGCAGGTGTCTGTGTGCAGATGTCTGTGTGTGAGCAGGTGTGTGTGTTGTGCATATGTACCTGTGCGGGTGTATGTGTTTGAATGGTGTCACCCTGTCTGGCGCGGGGTCTCTTTTTGACAGGTATGTTCCCTCGGTCGGGGGTCTCGGAAGAGCGAGAGAACAGAGGGAAGTTGCACAAAATCCTGGACAGCATCACAGACACTCTGATCTGGTGCATGAACAAGAGCGGAGTGCCGTCCCAGCAACAGGCCACCCGCCTCGCCCACCTGCTCATGTTACTGTCCCACGTCAGACATGCCAGGTACTATCCCCCACATCTGCTCCCCCTCCCCCTCACCCAGATCCCCCTCACCCAGCTCCCGCTCCCCATCAAACACTCCTCCCTACCCCACTCCCCCTCACCAACTCCCTTCCACCCCACTCCCTTGCATCCCCTCCACCTCACCAATCCCCCCTATATGGGATTATATTCAGCAAATAATAATAATAAGTCTTGCATTTGATACAGTGCCTTATCACGTCTTCGAGTTGTCTCAAAGCGCCTCACAGAGTACACTGTAAAGTGAATTGTTTGTCGATTGACGGATCACTTTTCTGGGGGTAATAATTCCTTCAAAAAATCACTCAATTCACGACTGTTTGTGAGCAATTGGCTGCCGCGCACAAAACATACAGTCAGTTCATTTTACAATATATTCTGTGAAGCGCTTTTGAGACATTTCGAAGATTTGATAACAAATGCGAGGATTATTATTGTTATTATTGACTGTATATGTTGTGGGTGAAACGCGGCAGCTAAGCAAAGCAGTGGTGGATTGAGTGACAACATTTTTTTTGCAGAGATTATTACCATTCAATTCGCGATCCACCAATTGACTAACAAGCGAGTTACTTACTGCTTGGTAAACAGAGGCACAGGCGTGTGGAGTAAGGAAACTTGCCCAACATTTCACCCTGTCTGGACAGAGCCTCTCTCACTCCCTTCCTCTCTTTATCATTGTCTCTCTCTCCCTCGCTGTCCCCCTCTCTCTGTCTCACATTCTCTCTTTCCTTCTTTCCTGGCAGTAACAAGGGGATGGAGCATTTGTACAGTATGAAGTGTAAGAATGTGGTGCCTTTCTATGACCTGCTGCTGGAGATGTTGGACGCTCACGTCATCTACAGTCACCGCAAACCTCACCCTGGAGAGAGCGAGAACAGCGACACGAAAACCAGCCAACTCTGAGCTCAGCCAAAGAGAGCGAGAGAGAGCTGCCAGCAGGGGACACAACCCACCAGCACAGCCCCCATCCCCACCAACACACAACCCCCACCCACACACAGCCATCATCCCCTCACCCTGTCCTCACTGCCTCCACACCGCCCCTCCCAGGCTGTGTTGCTCCCTCGTTGCTGGACGATGCTCATAGAGACTCTGTCTGTCTGGATGTTTTCCCTTAAACTGTGTTTGCCTCCCCACACACACCCCCACCCACCCCCACCACAGTCCAGTGCCTTGGGTCCCCCCTGAGCCCATGTTGGCACAAGAGCAGCTGTGCACTCGTGGCTCACTGTCTCCATCGCTCGCTCGCTGTCGGAGGAGGAGGTGTGAAGGTGATGATTGGATTCTGGCTGACAATCTATACCCTGATCCTCACTGCTGCCTTCAGTGTCTTAAACACAATCTGCCAGAAAATCATTGGGATTGTGTGAAACGAGTATCTGTGAGGAATGAGCAGTCAGTCACTGGGGAGACCATATCAGAAGCTGAGGTCAGGTCACTGCTCCCCTAGGGCTTGTGCCTCCTCCCTGGGCACTGCCAGTCACCCCCCCCTCCACTGCCAGTCACCCACCCCTCCACTGCCGGTCACCCCCCTCCCCTCCACTGCCAGTCACCCACTCCTCCACTGCCGGTCACCCCCCTCCTCTCCACTGCCGGTCACCCCCCTCCTCTCCACTGCCAGTCACCTCCCCCTCCCCTTCACTGCCAGTCACCACCCCCTCCACTGCCGATCATCCCCCACTCCTCTCCACTGCCAGTCACCCCCTCCCCCTGCCTGCCTGCACAGTCTGATTCATCCTCACCTTCACCAGGATACAACTCCCCCCCCCCCCCCCCCCCCACCACCATCCACCACCCCCAGCACCAGATCCCTCACCCCTTGACCTTGTCATCTCCTCCACCTTCTGACCATCAGTGACTAAATTCTCAGCCACTACTGGATCCAAGGTGTCGTGCCTGGCAATGGATTGTCGAAATTGAGCCAACCTCTGTGACGGTCTCTAGTCTGGTTCCTGAGCCAGGAGGGGCCGCAGTATCCCAGGGCACTCACTGATGATGACAGCCCGGCCTGGCTGCATTGGCACGACCTGGAAGGGGAGACCAGTCACTGCAGCAGGGAATCAACCCACTCAGCTCCTGTTAACCCTGCAACCAAAGCCTTCATGAGTAGGGTGGCCCTAGCTGGAAAAGCAGTGGGAAAGCTTGTCAGACATGGATATCAATGGCAAGCTATGCAGTTTTAGCTGGTTAGACTCCAGCAGTTACCCCAACACACACTCTGGGGTCCCTCAAGCCATGGCTCTTGCCAACCTGCGCCTAATACTCTCTGGAATTAGGTAAGCAGGATGCATCCCGCCAGGGAGAGAGAGAGAGAGAGAGAGCGCATTCCATTCCAACAATCTATCTCTGGGATTTCTATGTGTGGGTGGGATACGTGGAATTCTCAGCTTGATTTGTTGACTTTTAAACATGGTAATGGGTTTCCGTGCGTGCCAGACACCCGGGTGACCACAAAGAAATCTTCTGGAGCACTTTGCCTCTCTACCTCCGGTTCTCTCTACCTCCAACTCTGCATTTAAAACCCTCAGAAATATCTCAGCAATCTGTGCCTTAGAATGATGAACAGCCGATCTCTCCTATTCCACTACACGGCAGGTGCTCTTGAGAAGTTCCTTTATGTAAGAAATGCTCTCTCGCATTGGGTTGGGGTGGGGTGGTGGGGTGCTCACCATGTCCGAGTGGGAAGGGGGCTGTGTCCATGTAGACTCTACTCTAAAACTCATTTTTTCTTGCCGCTCGCATAGCGAGCGACAAGATCATACAGTCCCTCATATGGTGGGGTGGGGGGAATGACTAGCAGCGGGTTTTATTCCCCCCCCCCACCCTTCGTGTCTGACACACACGGTCGGTGCTTTTGTGCCTTTACATGTTATGTGATTTGTTCAGTGTGGGGGTGGGGGGTGGGGGTTGGGGGCTGAGCTTGGGATCTCTTGCATTCATGTTATGTAAAATGTCGTGCAGAGTTTTACTCACGTTGGGGTCTGACTCCCAGTGGCAGTGACTGGTGTGCAGCGGTGGGGTAAAGGAGGCTGTGGCTGCAGATGGATATGTGATCCCGTGACCAGCATTAGCCCAGACACCAGCCTGAACTTTAAGCCAATTGTTGAACTGATGAATGTACTTTTTAAAAACTTCAGAGTTGCGCAAGTGGGGCAGCTGATTGGGATTGTTACCTGGACACAGTGTGTATTCATAATTACATTCCAATTATTTAACAACACCGCCTGCCCCAAACACTCATTCTGAGTCTGAGTTTTCCTGCTGCCAACGTGACAACGATGTGTCTGACCAGGGTTTTGTGAAGCATTTTAGAGATGTGATTGCAATGTAAAGGATGCTGTATAACGGGAATTATTACTGTGCCTTAGTCGCTGTGTATTCTGTGAAGCACTGTGGGATGTCATCCCCATGGGAAAGGCATTGTAGCAAATACAAGGATTATTATTATTATTTTAAACCCTGGTCGTTCGGTGCTGTCTGTGTTCCACATTCTCCCCACGCTCTGCGTGGATGGGAAGCAGGAACTTGTGTGGGGTTCTCAGAGGAGCTGGGACGAAGAGCAGGAGTGAGCAAAATCACACCGTCAGCAACAGTGGATACAAAGGGAAGACATTTCAGATCACAGCCTTTTTTCCACTCTTTTTCTTTATAAAATGTTCTTTACGGCACCTCCATCGGCCTCACAGGGATTGTTCTCCAGTGCAGTCAGCACCTGTGTATTTGTGGCCCAATGTGGCAGATAATTTGTGCACAGCAATGACCTCAACTTCCCCTCATCCACGTCACCTGCTTGCAGCACTGTCTCACACCCAATGCTGTTGATCCTGTCTTCATAGCATATAAAATCATAGAATTATACAGCACAGAAGAAGGCCATTCAGTCCATTGTTTCTGTCCCGGCTCTTTGAAAAGCGCTTCCAGATCAATCCCACTCTCTCCCCATAGCCCTGCAAACTTGTCCTCCCCAAATAATTACTCTCTTAAAAGTTGTTATCGAATCGACTTCCACCACCCTTTCAGGCAATTCCACATCCGAACAACTCGCTGTGTGAAAACATTTCTCCTCACCTCCCCTGGTCAAAGTCATAATGACATTCTCAATATCTGTGATCAGGGCTGCCTCTGCCTCCTTGCCCTCCTCGACCTCTCTGGCGCCTTTGACACTGTCAACCACTCCATCCTCATACACCGCCTCTCTTTACTTAATCTTTGCGGACCTGCCCTTGCCTGGTTCGATTCCTATCCTCACCGTCTCGACTCTGTGCCTCTAACGTTTCTCCTCCAGCCCCCGCACTGTCACGGCGTCCCCCAGAGCTCTGTCCTTGGCCCTCTCTTTGGTATCTACATGCTCCCCCTTGGTAACATCATCCGCAGACGTGAGGTCAACTTCCATATGTATGCATACGACAACCAACTCTTATCTTTCTGCCTCAACCCTCAACTCCAGGACCACTGCTGTCCTGACAGACTGACTGTCTGTCAGGCCCTCCTGATTGGTTCGCGCAGCGCCTCCGCACCTCAGGCTCTGGCAGCATCAACCTCCATGGTTATACACTACAGCTCACCAACTCACCAGCCAGTCAGGAACCTGGGGGTCTTGTTCAACCCTCAACTGTCTTTACTTCCCCACATCCAAGCCATGACCCGCTCTGCCTTCCCTCACCTCTGTAACATCAGCCAACTCCGCCACTACCTCAGGCCGCTGAAACTCTTGTTCATGCCTTCATCACCTCCAGGCTCGACTATGCAAACGCCCTCTTGTCGGCCTTCCCAACCCCTCCCTCCACAGGCTCAGATAATCCAGAACTCTGCAGCCCGTGTCCTCTCCCGCACCAAACTCCATGACCCTATCACCCCCATTCTCACCCGACTCCACTGGCTCCCTATCCTTCAGAGGATCCAGTTTAAGATCCTGGTCCTCATATACAAAGCCCTCCATGGCCTCACCTCACCCTACCTCTGCGACCTCCTAACCCCCTACCAACCTGTCTGCTCCCCCCGTTCAGTCGGCTCTGGCTGCTCCATGTCCCCTGACCCACTCGCCCCACCATTGGCGGGAGAGCCTTCAGCCACTCTGCCCCCAACCTCTGGAATACTATCCCCCAATCACTCCGCCTCACCCCCTCCTTAGCTTCCTTCAAGTCCTGCCTCAAAACCCTCCTCTTCGACCATGCCACCGGCCACCCCCCATCCCCTCCTCTCCCCTCCCTTCTCCCTCCCTGACCCCAGCTTGGGTCTGAAATGCTGTACACTGTCTAGCACCTTGAGGCATCCTCCCAACGTGAATGGCTCTATACACATGTAATCTTGTTGATGTTGTTGTTTCTTTTAACAATTATTTTAAATCAGTGTCCGTCCGCCAGTGGAAATAGTTTCTCCTTATTCATCCTATTGAATCCCTTCACAGATTTTGAAAACTTTGATTAAGTCTCCTCTTAACTTTCTCTGCTTCTCTGGTCCCCCAGGTCTCTCTGATCCTTCACCCACTTTAAGATTGTACAATCTAGCTTAGACTGCCTCTTCTCATTCTTTCCCCCAAAATTCATCACTTTGTATTTCCCCACATTAAACTTCATCTGCCAAGTGTTTTGCATTTTCCCAGTCTGTCCTCTTGCAGTCTGTTACTATCCTCCTCACTGTTTACTACTGTTTAGTATCATCTGCAAACTTGGAAATTGTCCTCCCTATACCCAAGTCCAGGTCATTTATTACAGATCAAAAACAGCAGTGGTCCCAATACTGATCCCTGGGGGACACCACTGCACACTTCCTCCTGTCAGAGAAACAACTATTTTAACCCATATTTTTCTGAGTGAACATTTTTTCCTGGATTATAGTCTCTAGAAGTTTCCCCTCTACTGACGTTAGGCTGACTGGCCTATAGTTCCTGGGTTTGACCTTCTCTCCCTTTTTGTTCAGGGGAGTAACATTTGCAACCCTCCAGTCCTCTGGCACCACCCGGTGTCCAAGGAGGATTGAAAGATTGTGGCCAGAGCCTCTGCTATTTCCACCCTTACTTCCCTCATTAACTTAGATTGTATCCCGTCCGGACCGGGTGACTTATCTACCTTGAGCACCGACAACCTTTTAATAGCTTGTCTTTGTTTATTCTTATCCAATTTCTCTACCCTCTCCTCCGATACCGTGGCATTGGCT